CCACCCCCGCGCCCCCGCTGTGGTTGTGTGTGTGCGCGAGTGCGTGCGCCGCATATCAGCCTTTCATTACAAACATGCCACTCGACTTTGCACACATTCTGACGACGGATTGTATTTGGAAAGTAGGGAAGTTGATGTGATTTAGGACTGGGGGGGGCACTAAACACACTTGCATGAACACACACGCACACACACACACACACACACACACACACACACACACACACACACACACACACACACACAATTTTTATACATCAAACTTTTTATGCATATTCTCACCATGCTCGCGTATTGAGACACGTAACCATTAATGTTCTCAAACCTGCTTTCATTTTGATTTCGCCGATATAGTTCCAACTAATATTCGGCTTGGAGCACAGGCAGTTAAACTGACACACACACAATCAGATAAACGCACTTGCAAGATCTCAGTCAGCCCTTCTGTGCCACGGTAAGTATGAACCTCATTTCCCCACAAAGCGAAGCCACTGGGTAGAATACGCTGCGACGACTCATTAAAGCTTTCACACAAACGTGTACATCCACCCGTGCACATGCTCACTTGCATTTAGATTTTTTTTTTTCCACACAAATCCACCCTACCCACCCGCAACATTGTTGCAGCCACTGAGAAAGGATTGCCTTTTGATTCAAACAATTGCAGATTTTGAGTGTCGTGTGAGTGCATACATGGTTGTTCTCTTAGGATGGCCATATCGTTTTGTGGAGAAGCATTCCAGTGAGCCTGAGATTAATGAACCTCGATGAGGTTGAGAATGAGTCAGAACAGCAGGGAAAAGGCTGCAACGAGGGGTGGTCTGCAGTTATGTTGTCCATAGGATTGGATCCAGGCCAAGGTCTGTGTGGTGGCTGCAGGCTGTCTGATGTCTTTTGCACATGTTGTTAGGATGGCCAAGTTTGCAGATGAACTGGGAAGCCGCGGCGTGGGTTATGCCTTGAAGAACTCCCTCATCAACCACCATAAGCCCGCTGCGAGCATCAGCGAATGCCTAATGACCATGCGTCTCACGTGTGCAAGCCATCAGAAGGGTGCAGTTATGAGGGCTTGTGCCCATCAGAATGAAATAAAAGAGGCCTTATATGCTGTCAAAATTCCAACTCCTTGGAGACTTACATGTCAGATTTCTTACTTGCTGCTGCTGATGATTAATTGTTCAAAACATAAAGTTGTCATCACCAGAAAACTTTTCTGCCCAAAGAAAACGTTCAAAAACGTCACTGGGTTCATGGATACGTCCTCTCTCTGAATCTCTGACACCTCATTGACTACATCATGGTCCGCCGCGAAGGCCGCTATGACGTGTTAGCACAAGAACGATGTGCGGTGCATATGAATGCTTGACCAGCACTGCTTGATGCTTCATGCCAATTTGCTAAATTCAGAAAAGGCAGAGAAGAAAAGACACATCCAAACACAACTTTGAGCCTATTTTCTTGATTTGGCAAGATTGCATTGAGATGGGTCATATTTTCTAAATATGCAGTGAATCTTTAAGCTCATCCATATAAAAGCACTTTTAAAGGGTCATAGTCGCCGACTATATTTAGTGTCACACTTTCACCACTAACTGCTAAATGTAGTGAACTCTGCTAAAAACCATCATAAATTTAACATTCCTGACAAGTTTCACTGTTCCATCAGCTGAGGGTGCCTCAAATGAAACAAGCACATATGAGTTTATTTTATGTCATCAGGTATTTTTTCTGACATAATTTTGCAATGAAATGTTGCGTGAAAGCAGGAGTGACCAATCAATCAACCGCCACTGAACGGTAGTCTGTGGACTGGTCCCAAGCCAACTGCAAGACGTGCAGAGGGAAATGAAAAAAACAACAACAAAAAAGATTTTTGCCTTCCTGTATTATTATATATTGTGTATGAGTGTACACAATGTAAGCATTCTCTCAGTTTCACTTTCACACACACACAAAAAGCAAATAATTAAAAAGCAGGTCACCTTTTAACCTACGGTAGTGCATGACCTGCATCACAGGAAGTTGACTTCAATGGTCAGCAGCTTGCAATCGGAGTTGTGGAGATATATCTATTTTTTGTTTATTCTCATTTTTTCAAGTTTGTTTGATCTGCAATTCACCGATGGCAATGTTAAAAAATGGGAATCTGGAGCGTCAGGAGAAGCATTTTAAAGTGGTGCACGCGAGCTATGATAGTCATGTTTCTACACTTAACACACAACAAGAGTGCGTCCCTGCCTCCCTGTGTCAGTTTCCTACTAAGAAGTTTTCTTTTTACAAACTCTCACTCTTATCTCATATCTCGTTTATTTTTCTGTTTTGTTCGTGTTAGGGTCCGGTATGGTTGTTGCTCATCATGGGATGCGTGCGCGTGCGATAACCAGTCAATAGCAGGAGGTTTGAAAAGTTGATCTTTGGTCAAAAAAAAGGTTGGACACCCGTGCGTTTGGGCCCATCTGGGCTGCCTCATTCACGTTACTTTTGGATGATGAGCTGAGAGGAGGATGATATCAATACAGGAAAAGGAGTGCCAGGATGTGGCCCAATCTGTATGCGTATGTTTTCAGCAGTCTCTATGCAATGTACTTGAGTTCAGTGAAGCGACTTTAACCACAAAGTTCCACGTTTGGTGGCTAAAAATCACAAGTTTTGCAGTGAACATGCCCTCTGACCTTGATCCACAGCTTTGAACCATCTCTGCTATTTGTGCAGGTCATGTACACACTGCTTGTCTGACCCCGGCAGCTGCCCGCCGCCCACTCAATTAGCTTCTACAGCTCAAACCCAGTGAGGTCACCACCTTTTCTGTTTCTCCTTCATTTCCCATCCGACTTGCTGTGTCAGCCTTTCAAACAGGGTGAGAAACAAGCATGGGGACAGTGCACCGCAGTGCAATGAGAACATGAAAGAAATGCAGTCGGAAAAGTACAAGGCAATTTCACAAGACGGATGGGGGATGGCCCATCAACTGGAGAATTGTGAGGTCATCATCCGGAGCCCAGAGATAGCTTTCCTCATGATATGAAACTTGGATGCAGAAACGCAGAAGAAAAACCCAAACAACCTTGTGGCATGAATTGTTCAAATGCTCATTGAGCTGAAGCAAACGAGTGTGCGTGCGCACGCGTGCGTGTGACTTTATGTCTGCTACTGGTTTTTGAGGGTTGCCCCCCCCCCTCAATTTTCACCTCTCCTTGATCCCAAAGTGAACACACCAGCACATGGAAAATGGATTCCAATAATAGATTACTTCACATCATGGGCGTCATTAGGCCTATTTTAGGGAGGCTTAAATGTCTTTAGCCCCCCTAAATAATTTCATTGCATTATTTAAAAAAAAAGTATTATTTATTTTTCCTGTACTTTTTCTAATATATTGCATCAAATTCAATGTAATGTGGCCATTTTAAATTATATTTCGATAACCTGCCATTATTGTAATATTAAATCTCCCAGGTTTCCTGAACGCAACAGGTGTTGCGTTAGCATTTGACGTGTCTGTCACCATCGCCACATCAAATGCTAACGCAACAACTGACAGTTCATTGCCGAAAGTCAGGTTGAGTCGACAGCATGGATATTCGACAGCTTTTTAGAAAGGTAAATTAAGTATTCAATGCATCCATGCTGGTAAAACTAGTGTCTATAGTCCGCTAAAATATCTCCAGTAACAGCAGAAACTGCACTGTAACAAAGTGTTCACTTTTGGATAAATTAAGGTGGTGCTTAATAAAAATTAAGCAACATTTTATTATTAAATACATAAATAATCATTACACCAACTCTTTGAGGCAACACCTATTGAGATTTTGGCCTATATAAAATAAAAAAATAAATATAAAATCAATTTATTTATTTGATAGGAATCAGGCTAAAGACGCATAGAGAGTGAGCCGGGTGGGGGGGGAGCTCTGCTGGACAGGTGAGTCTGTCAGATCTCAAGGCTAATTTTACTTGCAAGGCTGTTCCCAAAATGCAATCGGAGCTTACAGTAAGTATTGAGCAGCAAACTTGTGTTTTTCCAAAGTGATGAAGCTTTTGCATCTCATTGTACTAACTTAAATTGCATATCACGGCAGACATCTCAAAATACATAGTCTTCTGGGGGCTAAGCATATATTAATACATTTTGGTAGAGAGGAATATAGGCCTACTGTCATATAGGTTATGTTATCGGGCATCCTTCTAATTCCCTTGAACAACCAAGATTGAACTTTTGAATTCTTTATAATTTCTATTATCCAGTCCAGTTAAAGTCCAGGGGAGGAAGCCCCATCATAGTAAAGAGGACACTAATGTGATGTGTGTAGTTCTTCATAGCCTCTTCATTTTGCTCTCAAAGTGCACGGAATTGATGGATTTTTAACAGAATGTAGAAAAAAATTCTCCCGGGGGGGCATGCCCCCAGACCCCCCTAAAGGGGCTGTGTTCCCCTTGGGGCTAAGCCCCCCTTGTTCTTGAAACCTAGTGACGCCCCTGCTTCACATGCTTGCTCACCTTTCCCGAACTCACTCACTCACATTTTCATTGATCGGACATGTTTTATATCCTCTCTCAGACTTTCTTTGTGGCTGATCTCGAAGCATCCACTCTAATAACTCATCAGCGCACGTGGCCAGCGAATCTCATTTGTCACTGTTGCTCAGGTCCCCTTGCAGCCAATCTGGGTGCACCCCGAGTGCCCACAGCAATATGGAGGATCACCAAGTGAAGAAAGGACAGCACACTCATCTTTGCGGAGCAAACGATCTATAAAATCTATAAAGCAATATAGGAGTTTATGAGCTATGGGTGCTTGAAATCAGAGCCAGTTCAACGATGCAACTGTCTCTCCACCTTTGTTTCCTCTCGTTCCAATTCTTTTTTTTTTTTTTTTTTCAGGATGTCTTGTTGTCAATTTATGGAGAATATAAAGCGGCTTTGTTTATTGTATAAAATAAGGTTGTGGTCACAGAATTGCTATTCTCGTAGAACTCATTTGTCTCTCTTCTTGCCTCCAGTTTGTCCAGGTACAGAGAACAAGCTGAGCACCCTTTCAGACCTGGACCAGCAGTACCGCACCCTGAAGAAGCTCTACGAGAATTGTGAAGTTGTAATGGGCAACCTGGAGATAACCAGCATTGATCGGAACCGTAACCTCTCATTCCTTAAGGTAACCCAGTCGCTCAAAATGTCAACTATATTGATCTCCCCTGGAGAGGAACACAGACAAAATCAACATGGCTTAGAGCATGGGTGGGCAATTATTTTCCCGGGGGGGCCAAATGAGAAGCAGAAAATATTGTGGAGGGCCGGGCCAAAAGTTAGAAATCTACTCCCGATTTCAGTTTTATTTCTACGTTGAAATAAGTTAATGACATTGTTAACAGAAGCTGATAAGAGTATGTATTATTGCTAGACAATGAAAGTGCAGTTATTTTACAGAAAAAGCATTAAAGTATTACCATACTTTTTTTTTTTTTTTCATGAGAACAGTGAAACAACTGTGGTATATGTCCTGGATGAACGTCCAAGTATGTTAACAACATCCTTGTGTGATGTCACAAAGCAACAAAGTGCAACAATATATTGCCCAAAAACTGCAGCATACAGTACAGGTACATGACAAAATTAGGACTATTTGCTGCAAAATGAGACGAGTAAAAGACCTGGTGGCTTTCTTTCCACTCACTCACTGTCTCGAACTTGACCTCCACTTGATCACCACACAAGACAGCGTTGCTCAGCTGATGTCGTGCAACGAACTTTT